AGCCACCAGCTGACTTCCTTGACTACATCCCTAGAACCAATTAGCACTTGCTGGCAACTGACTCTCAAAACAAAATCCAGGGGTATGCACATGACATCCCTGTGCTCAAGTATGAAGGTGACCATGCTGAACCAGAAAGAAAAAGTCTAATTTTTTCATGTTCAGTGTCCTGAGTCTGTCACCTGCAATGTCATCTCATTGTGGTCAAATTTCAAAAAGCACTTTGCTCAAAAGACCCACTAAAGTCTACCCCCTTAACTCCAAATGTCCATGGAGGGAGAGGGGGATGGTTGCAGGTGCCTTTCAGCAGAGAAGATGGGGGTGAGGGCCAGGGGGAGACCTAAGCAATGAAACTGCTTAGCTGCAAAGATTTTGATAATGTAACTGCACAGAAAAACATGCTGCATGAAAATGGTGTCAATTCTGATGAGGAGAGAGCACACGGTCTCCACCAGCCTGCAAGCTCTCCCTGTGGCTGACTGCTGCAGGCAATGCCCCTCCGATGGGAGATTTGATGCAAACACAATATGAGCTTTGAGTCTCTCGGCAACAGTCAGCAGGTGAATTTCCTGTCCTTCCCACCGTCCTCCCAGCGAAGTCCTCTCATCAGCTCCTCAGCCCAGCTCGCTCCCTGTCTCTCCCACCAAGGTCCCCTCCACGAAACCTCCCTGTACCAGACTGTCTGACCCTTCTCAGCTCCCGGCACCTCAGTTCCCACTCCCCTCCCAGAACCTTTGGGATCTTCTTCACATGGGTGAGCTCCCCCTTTACAAAAATGCCTACAGGCTGGGCCTGGGGACAGGTGCTCCTGGAAAACCGACCTTCGGCCCCCTTCCTGTGGGGAAGGAGCTGTGTGCTCTGTACCAGTTACTTCCATCTGGTGAGTGGGCAAGTCTGGGACCGAGTCTCCAGGGGGCGGCAGAGGGTTAAACCTGTGAGCAGGGAAAGCAAGCATCTCCTGCCTGGTAGAATCCTTGCTGCGTGGCACTGGGGTTCAACTGCAGCGGGACACACCCACAGGGAACTCTGGGGATGGGGAAGCAGATCCTCCACCAGGAAACATGCTTTATTGTCTGCTTTATGTAGCGGCCTCAGTACAGTCCATATCCTTTATCAATAAAGTCCCCGATTTTTCTGTTGGCATCTTCTCATCAATTGTATTGCCATCTCTTGGAGACAACCAGAAACTCTTCTGTCCTTAAAAGCCTAAGGTCTCCGCTGCCTGTCGCTACCTTTGCGCACACTCTCTAAGAAGTCTTACAACGAGGCATGGCCCATCCATCCCTTAAAGCCCTTCTCTCCAAAAGGAACTCTCAGCTCAAAGGAGTGCGTGTCTTTCTGGCCTACCATTTATAAGTGGTTAATGCCACTTAAACCTAATAGGCACAAGACCCCATTCAGAGCTCCTTTCCTAATTCTTCAACCTATTTTCTATTTACCCCAGCCCCCTCGCTACAAGTTTATAAATTTCAACTTCACACAGGAATTCTGCCTAACACACAATTAAAGTTTGTTGATACAATGGTTACACCGAGAATCTGAAAACCAACCTTGCTGTAGGAGGAACAGGACTTGAAGGATTTCTGAGCACTAGGACATACATACCTCATATTTTATTCAACGATTCTGGGATGAATCTGTGATAGGATTGTAACTCTGACCAAGCCCTACTGCCCAGATGGAGGATTTAGGAGCCACTACAGGTTATGGCAAAAAAATAATAAGAAAGTAGAGACAAAATACAGTGGCTTTCAATATATGTACAAATGGAAGCAGGCCCAAAACTTTTTAGTGACTTAGTTCACTGGCATTGAGTGCAGCTGCAGCTCTCTTTTATCATCACACATTTAGGGAAAGATTTCTAGAGAACACCAGTTTGAATTTCAGCTATTCAAATTCAGGCAATTGTAAGATGGCCCCGCTGCAAAGTGCCAAAGGGAAAAACCACCCTTTTCAGCTCCCTTTCTGGCTGCCAGGGCTCATCACCATCCACATTCTTCAGTGATTGCAAAGGAATCTCTTTCAAAGGACTGAATACATTTGTCAGGAGAAGGGATTTACATTTTAAATGATGTTTTTAGAAATTTCCATTTAATTACTACAGTCAATTTTTGTTTTTCAGTTTCCAATTATTATTCTCAGCATGGCCTACTTACCAACCATAAATTCTAAGCAAGTGCTTCTATATACATGAGATCTTTTTTTTGTTTTGTTAAGGCAACTGAAGATAAATGCCAGGAACAAATTCAGTGGGAAAAAAAGCAAAACTATTTTTTGCTGAACATGTCAGAAGTGATCAAGGTGCCCTAATTTGGATTCTCTTCTGCCCTACAGGCTTATACAAGTAGACAGGGCCAGAGAGCTTGATGTATTATTATTTCCTCATGTGAGAGTTTTGTTTTTTTCTTTCTAGCTGTAGCGAAGTTCCAAAGGCAATTCTTTCTCAAGGAATCATAAAAACTTTACTCTGACCTTCGGCCTGAAAGTTGTTCTTTACATTGGGATTTGGAAATAACATTGAAATGAGTCCGCTACATAGGATGCAACACACTGGAACACCAAGGAAAACGCATCCTACCTTCTGTAGGTTCAAACCAATCAAGAAAGCTGCTGTCCAGAAAAAAGGAGCTGACTGTCCTCAGTTCTGGGTTGAACCAGTTGTTAGACAGACACGAGTAGAGCAAGAACGATGGGCCAGGTACAGAGACTCACCAGGGCAGAAAGCCCAAGATGCCTAGCAAAGGGCAAAACTGAAAAAACAAGAACCTTGTCCCCAGGGGAACCTGTCCTCCCCTAGCCTATGGCTGGCCATGCGGTTTAGACCCCCTGAGCGGTTCCTCCCTAAAGATAACATCTAGGCCTCAGTTGTATTTCAGCTCCAGGCCCAGAAAAGCAGCAAAACCAGACAAGTGGCCTGTGGCTACTTTGACTAATGACCTCCTGTCCTGGTACCGACCAATCAGTGGAGACCACGACCCTGAAAGAGCACACCAGGAAAGCTGATGAATATTCTATTGAGACCCTCCTGAGACCTTCCGTAAGATTCCCACCTGCAAGAAAGAGATAAACGCCCTCAGGACAAAGGACCCAGCAAGTGGAGCAGGCCAGCGCCATCTCCTTCCCCCTTCTTCCCTCTAAGGGACCCCAGGAGACTTGCAACNGGGGGGGGGGGGCGGCCAGCGCCATCTCCTTCCCCCTTCTTCCCTCTAAGGGACCCCAGGAGACTTGCAACCAGGGGAGCAATGGGCGGCGGCAGCTCGTCCCCGGCTTACCGCCTGAACCTGTCTCCGAGGCCCCCTTCCCTTCTCTGGCTTCTCAGGGAGCCACAGCAGCCCAGCCCAGGCTCTCCTGTTACTTCCATGCACCTTCCTTGTTTCACTGTCCTAAGTATAATTATGGACCCAATACCTTGTGACTCAGGGCTGTGTAGCCTTCCCTTTGGATGTCCCCACCCCCCATCCCTTTCCCTAAATAAGTTCAGTTTCTCTTTATTCGCCATCTGCGATGACTGTCTGGCCTGCCCGCGCACCACCCGCCTTAGCCTTTCACCCGATCACCTCTTTTCTGTGGGTAATGCCTTTCATTTTCCAGTTCACTTTCCTCTTCATGCCATTACTTCGAAACTGCCCTTCCTTTAGAGCAGCCGTCCTGTACACGCTGCACCTCAGCCGGGATTTCTGTCTTGAGCAGACATAGGTGATTCGCTCTCTCCCCAGTTCAATGACATTGCTGGAGAACTTGACTTCAACTGTTAATTTTTATGTGAACTACTCGTATTGCCCAGAGAATACATCTCTTGCTCCTGTTTCCTCTTACTGAATGACAGAAATGCACAACAGTGTCCTGTGGCTGTCTGCTGTTGCTATAGCCAGGTTAAGAAGCCTGTCCACAAGAATCCATGTCACTTCCCTCCCCTTCCCATCAAGTTAGGACGAACCTTTTTCCTTTATCTCCACCCACCATCCATCTCCTCTCTTTGTAGGTGTCTAGAAGAATATTTTCCTGGATCGATCCTCAGGTCTGGGCCCAAATTATAGCTGAAAGAACCATCTACATCACCAACGTAAACAGAGCACACCTGGATTCCAGATTCTGTTTTTCAGGAATCTTGTTTTCTAACCCCCTCTTGCTTTCAAGCATCTAAAATCTCTATCAGTCCTTCCTGGTTTCACTCATTTTCACATGAGGTTTTTAGGTCTTGACAATTCCTTGCCACGTGCGAACTCCGTTACTTGCTTTCTTCCACGTACATTTCCTGGGCGTCCACGCTGTGCCAGAGGTCCTGCCGGCAGGGGACCTCAGAGAGTGGTCACCAGGGCTGACACACGCTTACAGACTAACTGGTGGTGGCCATGGAGATAGTAAAAATGGTCATTTCTGCCCAGCTCCTGGCACACAGTAAGCACTCAGCTATCCGCTCAATGTTTAGAAATACACAGCACATGGTAGTGTATTTTTTAAAATCACCATTTGGCTGAGGAGTGTTTGCACTGCATCTGGGACTGTTCTAGATGAAGAGACTAAATAGGCATGACAACCAAACGCAATGCTTACCCCTGGGTTAAAAATTAAATAGCTATCAAACTGGTCCACGGGGAGATTTTAATCTAGACTGTGTGTTGGGTAATAGCACTAGATTAATGTTAAATTTCTTGAATGTGATCATCGTACTGTGATTATAAGAATGCCCTTGTTTGGAAATATTAGGCATGAAGCATGATAATGTAATTTACTCTCAGGTAATTCAGAAAGAAGTTTATCTGTTTATAGAGAGAAATACACACAGAGTGGCAAAGAAATGTGGCAAAATGTGAGAAACAGGAAAATCTAGGGCATAGAAACTTGGCTGGGTGTTCATTATATGATTCGTGCATTTTTTCCTATGCTTTGAAATTTTTCAATATAAAAAGCTGGGAAAAGAAGATGAATAAAACCGAAATACTTTAAAACTACTTTAAGTGACGCTGGAGGAAAAGCCAGAGAAGAATTCACACCAGTTCTGAAACCAAACACAAATACTTTTTATTTATGGGATATCATTTTTACATCAATTCCATTAAAACCTAAAGCCAGTTTGCTGTACTCCAGTCAGGTGGCATAACAGTATGTGAGTTAAGCTGGGAGTCACGGGACTTGCACACGTTTATGGATGTAATGCAGACTCTGACGACACGAAGCACTCACAGTTACAGGTTCGCTGCTGTTCCCGTAACAGTAACCCCCAGGAGAAATTATTTTATGAAAAAAAGCAACCCATGTTTTGGTCTCATTTACAGATGCCCAACTATTTTAGTTGGTCAATGAATTCTATACATTTATCATACAACGTAACACATGAAAGAATGAAAGATAAGGCTTACAGAGGTATTTTAGCAGTTGTAAGAATAAAAACCAAGGGCAGGAACTTTTAAAGCTTTCCGTATAAACTTCGAAAGCACTGTTAAAATGGAGACTGAGTCAACAGAAACCTGTTGCGAAATCAGAAGCTCTGTCTAGTCAGATTTATAAAAAACTTAATTCAGAGTTCATGCTTCAAAAAAGCTGCGTGTAACATTACAGTGCATGTTGCTGCAAATCAAATCGTGAGGTTTCTGACCTACTGCAGCGGAAGCATCGAGTTGTAGTTACAACAGAGCCCTGCCGCGTGGAGCTCAAGCATGGAGAGGGAGGGATGGAGACCTGGGCAGTAAGGAGAAACCAGAAGAAGGCACCCTCATTTCTTTAACATTGGCCAGGAAGCAAGTGCTTGACGGCTGCTCAATTTCATGTAACTTAGGGACACTTTTAGAAAAGGTATATTATACTGTCCAACCCCTTCTCCTTCTCTTAAAAATAACTCTATAAAATCAAGGAAACCAAGAGCAGGCACTCTGCAGCCAGAGAGGTTTCTTTTTCAAAGTTTAAAGAGTTTAAAGATTTGCAGTTGTCTACATACGCAAGATTATCTTTTTAGAACACTTTCGTATATACATTATAAAACAATTTCTAACTTGGGTTTCCCCCATCATCAAAAGTTAGCTGTGGATGAAATGTAACATCTCCCCTGTGAAAGTCCTGTATTTTAGAATTAACTGTGCTTAGTGTTTTAAAGTCTCCAGTCTCTAACAATAACTTTAAAAATACTCATCTATGATTTCTATTTATATGTTCATTTCTGATTTATAGTTGACCAAATTTAAGAACTGTTGACCTCACAATATGATTTTTTTAAAAACCTCACGGAATGCCTCTAAAAAAGTTGTTCTCCACGGACCTGAACCTGTGGCCAATCGCCACTGAAAGGAGCCTCTTTCAACACGTTGGTCTCAAGGGCTGTGCTTGCCACCAACATCTCCTATTCTTCTCAGGTACTAATTTGCGCAAACTGGTATGAATTTAAAAGGCAGAAGTGAGCCTACAATTCCTAAACAAGGAATGATTAAGTATGCTTAATTACTAGAGTTTTCCAAACTTCTGGTTTATTTCACAGCAAACCAAGCCTTTCTACTTGGTAAAGAAAGGAAGCAATTCTACCAGATCATGATTTTGTATATGCGCACATGCTGTATTTACATACAAAATGTCTGTCTTTGGTGGTTCAGTTAGAGAAAAAAATATGAAAATCTGAACACTGTTTGCAAAGAAATTGTGAAATCGTGGTCAAGAGTAGCACTGTCTGTGTGCTTCTCTCACTGAATGCCATTTAAAGGTTTCACATTTAATCCAAAAGATTTCAGCCAGACTTTGAAATAATCCAAACCCCTTTCAATAGTTACATGTTCAATCATGAATCTTGCTCACAACGGGAGCGTTCACTGGTTCAAATGCACCATTAGCGTTTTACTTGGTTTAAATTATTAGACTTCTGTATTTTCACAAAACTTTAGGGACTAAATTAGTCATTCAATAGCACCAGATAGTTGAGGGGGGAACATGTTATCTATACATTTCCTAAAAAAGGGTAAGGCAAGGGAGGGAAAAAAGACAAAATACAAACCTAAAAATCCATCCTATTTACTCGCTTCCTCACCCACATAAATAATGCTATCACCTTCCTGCACACGTGACTCGGGTCCGAGGAGCGGCCTCTCCGGGGACGGTCCTACCGTAACAGAGTGAGCGCAATGCTGGTGGTGCGTGTCCACTGCCTGCAATGGACATTCTGCCAGGAAAAGCCTAGCATGAAAGGAACAAGGAAAGAAAACGAAACAAAACACCTCACTTACAATAGAGCTCTTTTTCCAAAAAACTAGAAAATTCGACACCATGAAAGTTTAACTAAAAATCCAAGCCACAACTAAACACTGCTCTGCAATTAGAAAACGCCAGCAAACCATCGGGTTTCCATGGAGGAGGCAAAACTAACTTTACTGAGAATGGCACAGAGGCATCAGCAGGCCAAACACTAACGAGAAGAAAGCAAAAGACAAAGGAAAACCACTGAAGAAAGTATAAGTTTATAACCGTTCTATTAAAAAAAGGTGCAATTTTAATTTGTTCATTTGTACCTATATTCAAATCACTACAGCTTCTTAACATTAGAAAATAAAAACCTAAACCTTGCATGGTGGAAATGATCGGTGACATGGTACATGTCTCTATGTTCAAATAATTGTAAGTCTCATCATTTAAAAATGCTAATATTCAGGTAAACCAAATTATATTTGGCATATGCCTCTGCAAAGTAGTAACTCCCACCTCCTTCCAAAAGTTGGCCTCTTGAACAATAAGGTGAATTCTGGCAACATTTACTTATGGTAAAATTCTTCTGTCTTGTTTTCTGAAATGCTACATTTGAGACCAAATAAAGTATAATTGGTTCATCTGAAAAAAGGGACTAGAAATATGCCACAAAAATTATTTTTACAATACATTTTTGCAGAAATAATCTCTAGGTGAAGCTTTTTCTTTTTATACACATATACAAAATTTAAACAGCAATATACACATAATCACAGTGAGGACGTTGGCAAATTCACCAATCTGTAGTGTAAATACAAACTGCAAAAGCAGCCTTCCAAGAGAACAATGCTACTCAGCAGGCAGAGCTGGCCATTCAATAGCAAACACCAAAAACGTCCCTGCAAAAGGGAGACAGTGCAAGAAAAGCAGCATGCGCTTTGATACGAACAGCAATTTATGGCTAATGGCTGACAGAACTGTGGTAACAGCGACTCTCGAGCTGCTATGCGTCAAGTCCTAGGACATCTGCTTGTCTTTATACCACTCCACAAACTCGTCCAACAAAACTGGCCCTGAAGAGAGAGAGAAAACAGATGGCTCAGGCTTTTACAACAAGGACGCGCGAGCATGCCGCGCAGGGAAGGGGGCCCAGCTACGTACTTACATGCGCCATCTTCGTCGTAGTTGCTGAGGTCAAGGTTAATTGTCCTGCTAAACTCTAGCACATTGCACCACTGGTCTTTGTTAATAACTTTGTATTTTGATTGCTGATGGAGGGAAAAGTAACAGGAATTACTGACACAATTAACAAATGTGACGCTTCAATTGCTGTACGAATCGACTTAACACAGTTCATAAAGGTGAACTCCGCCCATCTGGTGTGTGAGCACCCGTCTAGGAAGACAGGGAGAGCGCAGGGGCAGAGCTTAAGACGACAACTTTCCTTACAAAATATTACGGGGCCCACACAAAATGAAACGCACATCAAAGAAACACAATTTTATACCCCTAGAAGTGAAATTTCTAGCCTGTAAAAGCCCTTTTATATAAAATGGGAATAATGTCTACTTGACAGAGATGCTGCAAGGATTAAGAGATAACTTAGGTAATTTATGTAAAGTCCTTCATTCACGCTTGGCACACAGCAAGCGCTAAATAAAGAGTAGCTCCATGAAGAAGTCCTGAAATGGCCAGGATGCTCTGTGCCAAGCTGTGAGCTAAAGCACACCCAGCAGTGGCAACTTGACCAGAGGGCTCAGACTATGTGCTCTAGCCATTGAAGAAATTACTGTTCTAATAAGTCAAAACTTCAATCTGGTCATAAAAGTAATCAGAATAGCCATGGAGTAGTTTTCTATTCCTCTCAGACAAGAAATATGCCATTTGTGTATTTTAAAATACAGTATTCTTGTATGAAGATTTGAAAATAAAAGCCAGATCCAACAATTTTTAAATCCTAATCACTAATATCAGATATACTAGAAAACAATACAAGCACACAAAAACCAAAGAGAGTTGAGCCAATAGTTTTGAGGGTGCAAACACAAGAAAAGCTAAAAATGAAAAAATTACTGTCTCCTTTTAAAAGAAAAATGCAAATAAGAAAGAGAACAAAGCAGACTAGATGTTTCACTTTCTAAGCAACTAAAAGCAAGAACCAGTCACTAAGACAGTTGGTGAGGCTCCTGGAACTGTGCAGAGTCGAACTGGCTTGCGGCAAGGACTTCCGCTAAAGAATCCTTCACACTCAGGCTCAAATCCACTAAACTCTCTCAGAGCAAGAACCTGTTTCTACTCAGCTTCCAAATAGAGCTAACACTTCACAGGATTATCAGAGGAATAAAGAAATACTTCTTATATTAAAACTAGTTTTTATACCTTTCTTGAGGAGTTCCAGCTAGCAGCGTTACAAGAACTTTTTAGTAACAGTCCTCAAAGAATCGTACCAGTTGGAAGTTCTTCCAGACAATTACATAAAGTCGTAAGAAAGATTATTTCAAGAGCGAAGCTGGAGTCCGGGTAAGGTCCAGGAATCTCTCAAAGACCCAACACCCTCATCCTTTCATGCGAAGAACATTTTTTAAAAGGGTTTGGGGCAAAGGGGAAAAAAGAGGGAGTTTGGGGCTGGAGGACAAGAAGGATGCTATCTATATATGACAAACCTACTAACTCACACTTACATCTCAAGTACTTCCAACTCCTACACTATCTCACTGCATCAAAACCAGCTCCTCATAGCCAGTAGCTCAAAGTTTTTATTCATCCTTAAAGCAACAAATGATGAGGTAAAGTGCTGGATTGTTTCTAACACAAAGTGAAGGAAATTTAAACTAAAGCAGATTCTGTCAGTTTGCCTAACGCTTAGATTGATTCAAGGTCCTCAAGTTGCTTGGAGATAAGAGTAAAGATGACTACATTACACACTTCTTTTAACAAGAAGGCCGACGTCTACTTTTTAATCTCTGCTTAATAAAAGTGAAAATTCACCTAAAGCCACAGAGGAGAGTAAATCTTGTTTTACTATTGTTATAAGGAGCAGGAAATCTGAACAAAAGTAAAGCCTTTAAAATGGTGACGAGAGAGGAGAGCAAAGCACAGAGTTGTAGCTGTTTCTGATGGATTTGTACTGGGAGCGATGCAACACAGTATTAAATTCACACAGATGCCCGCAGAGAACAGGAGTTGCTGATTGACAGCAGTTATGCCACCATAATTCCTATAGGCAGAGAAGTATAACAAACAGAAAATTACATAAAATAGTTAAATAAAGTATACTTGGTAGTTCTAAGCAAGCAAAAATACATTCCATAAAATAACAATTTGGTACCTCTAAGAACTGGTGAAAAACTGGAAAAAGGGGCCAGATTTTTCCTAATAACAGTCCCAACATGCACTTGGCAGTGTTTATGTCTAGGCTGCGCTGGTCCTTTTCCTGTTTAACAAACAAAAACAAGGATGAGCCAGATGCCCCAAATAATAAATTCCAATCATCCAAATTTCTATTTCACGTCAGCAAGACATTAGCAAGCAGCTCGACCATTTATCATACACCATAAAATCCCTGGGTCTTGACTAAGATGGGGGAAGGGAGGCAGGCAAACACAATGGAGGTTTGCTCACTCAGGTACTACATAAACATACTGGCAGGAAGATTCATGTCAATTGAATGATCACCCTGATGCAAAATCCATTAGTTATGTAGTAACAGTATCTACCATTATTTCACAGGATAAATAAAAATCTGTAACTCAATCACTTGCTGTTTGACATTTATGATAATTACCAAAATCATAACTGCTCACCCCAAAGCCCAAAGTTTAACTAAATGGAGTTTAAAGGTTTTGATTTCCATGCTTAGGAATCAGGAAAATATTATTTTTCTAACAATTTATTTCGTTGATTTGTTTTTCTTGTACCTGAAAACACTGGCATTAAAATCAGCTCACAATAAATGCTGGGGCGCTGGAGATTCTCTCCAAGTAAGGGGGTGTACTCACCCACTCTCTCTGGGAGGTAACAGTCTATTAGTCTTCTTACCTTGGACTTGTTGGATGTGAAATCTCCTAGCAGAATACCCCTAACTAGTAACCAAGTGAAAGACAACATTTCATAAAGAAACCAGAAAAATAGTAGTACATAAACCTGAAACGGGCAGATGAAGCTCATCCACTTATATTTGCAACTAGGGTCCTAATTTCTCATTCTCTGCTAACAAATTCTCCTTTCGGAACTACAAATGGGGAGTTTCTATGTGAAGGGACAGAGGACCCGGGGCCATAAGCCGTAACCGGACACACAGCCAAAGCCAGCCTCCACGTGACAGCTCAGCTCCCGTGGAAATTTGCAGAAGCCCGCTCCTACAGAGGGAGAGCTCCCGGCTACCGCGCTTGCAGGGGAGTCTAAATGCTCGCCACACTAAGGGATGACGCCGTGACCACCGCAGCAGCCCACGCAGCCATGAGCGTCTCCCGCTGAAATGCAGCACTACCTCACCGACTCGGACGGTGAAGTGCTCTTCAGTACACGGAGACTTCTGGCCTTGACACTGAATTTAAAAGCGAAGGATTTAAACACAGCAAAGGTAAGGCCTCACTCAACAGCAAACACAGTGGATGAAGATACGGAAAGATGTGCACTAGGTCTGTCCTTTGGTCCCGGTCATACAACCTAACGACCGTTCACCAACAGACCAGGTCAGGTAGCTCCGCATCACCCTTCTCTGTTAACAGGCCACACAACTTATGTCTAGTGGGGGGCTCCCCGATCCCACAGTTCAATGCCAACAGGGAGGGCCTCCTTCCCACAGCATTCTCTGCCTGTCTGGACCATGCAGAGCACCCTGCTCAGGGCCACAGCCTTAGTCCTGGAGGGGAGGACAAGAGAAAGGTACTCTAGAGACTGTCCACCTTTTGCCAACCAAGCCTCACTGGTTCGCTGCATTTCAAAGGCTTCTACTTCTGTGATACACTGTGCAAGAAATGGAAAACTTCCTCTTACCCGTGACAGAGGCATGGCAGACGGCGCCAGCACACCATTCTATGAAGCAATCCACATGAAAAATGAGTCAGCTGCTGAAAACACACGTGGCACCGCAGGGCTGGGCCAAAGTTGAACAACAGCCCACGTAGCACCGGGCTGACGGCACTGGCACTTGGGAAAAGCTTTCCCTTGGAAAAGTTTGTAATCATTCACTAAACCTGAAATCACTGGTCTTTCCATGATACATACTGTGCCTTTTTCCCACATCATCAACACCTATGTCCCCATCACAATGGACATACACCAAGGTGACAAAAAGAAAAAAAAGATACAAAAGACCTGGACAAGACTCTGCAACAATATAATCATCTGACAAACTGATGATCATGAAGGACTTCGATGTATGTGTTTGGTTGGCAGTGATGCCCAGACAGGGAGGAAAGGCATCAGACTCACAGGACCGGAAGCTGAACAGCACTCACTCACTCCTGCTCTGCAAGGGTGCCAGCCGGCAGCTCGCAATCACTAACACCATCTTCTGCCTAGCAAATAAGAGAGAGATATTATGGATGCACTCAAGATCTGAACAGTGGCATCTCACCGGTAACCAACATTGCCTGTGGGTAGATTTGAGGCTACATGCAAATGTCCGTAACTGGAAACACTCAGAATTCCTGGGAACAACAGTCGAGAGACCCCACAACAAAAAGCTACTGGATATCAAAATGGAGACACGCCCATGGGTTCTCTGACAGCAATGATCCTAACAGCATTCTCTGCCAGGGACTTCCCAATTAAAAGTAAAATGAATCTCCCAGGATGCTATGAAGCAGGGCGTTTAAAAAATGATGATCACCATAACTAATTCAGAGAGTACAGCAAAGCCATCCAGAAGCTCCTCGCAAGAAATCACAGTAGACAACTGCTCCCAGGTCCATCTAAGCAGAAAGAACCTTGAGACAGGCTCTCAAGAGTCAATCAGCACCCCCAGCAGGCCCATCAAGTTCAAAGAGGAAATGAAACTCTTCTCTGTGCTCACCTCTTGACTCAAGATGTGTTGGTATGTATTTCATAAATTTTAATTTACATCAGATCAGGCCTCTCAGTGGTGCAGCTATAAAACCAAAGGATCCTACTCTGAATATTCTAAGAAGTTATGTTTTGTATATGGAATAAATGCACTCCTCCAGCTAAAGACTAGTAACAGCTAATGTACAGAATATTGACATTTTATTAAGGTCTGATTTGAAGTTCTAATATGAAAAAAAAATTACTGCCTTTGTTTATGTAACACTGTTCCAGTATAAGTCTTCCTATGATATGTGAAAATTAAGCATTTTTTTCCTTAAATGGCACAAATGGCTTAAGAAACAATAATTGAAACAAATAGGTAACTATATATAAGCAAATATAAATGGTATCATAAAAATGAAATCCTTAACTATCTAGGTATCCAGATATGCTATTCAGAGGCCCCCAAGTACTACAGGTGACCCATTTCCAATTTTCACAAAGCTTTGATAGCTTAGGACTTGTATGTGAAAGGTGAACATTTAATTATTAAAATTATAAAGAAAAAAATCTTCAAAAGGAAAAAAAATATTCCTAAAATTTTCAAGAACTAGTTGGACTCAAAAAAAAACCATGATTCACCAACATAAACGGTGACAACCAAGTCAGAAACTGGCACGTGAAATCAAAAGGACTAAAATGAAGACCTATGACATACATCACAGAATTCCATCTGAAACCACAGGGATTACAAAAAATAGAGAAAATGCAGTCCCTTCTTTAACACAGCTACCTAAGTCAACAAACACAAGGTAAAAACAGAGAGCTCTAACTCGAATCTTAAGTAATGTGACTCAGTTTACTGAAAATTTAGTCAATCAGTTATTTGAATGGGAGCTGAGTTTTTTCCTTTTAATATACATTGAAAAAAACCACACAGCCAGGCTGGGAGTGGCTCAGTGGCTGAGCATCAGCCTAGGATCCAGGCGATTGGGGTTCGATTCCCAGTCAGGGTACATGCCCGGGTTGCAGCCTCGATCACCAGTCGTGGGTGTGCAGGGGGCAGCCGATCAATGACTCTCTCATCATTGATGTTTCTCTCTCTCCCTCTCCTTTCCTCTCTCTGAAATCAATAAAGATATATTTAAAAAGAAAAAAACCACACAAGCCATAAAACCCAAGAGTATCGTCCCACTGGGAAAAATGAATCTAAAGAATTATGCTCTTAGAACTTACCCAGAGTTATTTACAGATCACAATGTTTGCAAGGTAATTCATTAAGCTTAACTATTGACATTTCCTTAACAAAAGAAAAAAATCTGCCAAAGGGCACAGTCTTTCCTCATCGTTTTATTTGGTACAGATTCTCTTACTAAGCATCTCTCTTGGAAAATAACGAGGTTTGCAGACACCTAAGCAATATGAGTAATAATTCAACAACCATTTCTAATTCTCTGGTTAAATTTTAGTGAGAATTTAATCTGAGTCAGAAATTGTTCCAAGTACCTTATACTTAAATTCATTTAATACACTAACCCTTTTAGGATAGGCATTATTATTATCCCCAATTAATAAATAAGAAAACTGAGGCAAAGGGGGTTAAAATGATAGTTATTAAGTGGTAGAGCTGGGACTTGAACTGGGAAGTCTGATTCCAAACCTTCATTGTGTACCATCTCACTTCCCTGAGAAGTAATGAGGAAGAGAGGTTTAAATATAAACTCACATACAGTCCAATTAGCTCTACAAGTAACTGGAGAGCAAATCTGTGTCTGCAATAACCAGAGTAATTTTTTTAATTGAGGTATAATTGACATACAATATTATATTAGTTTCAGGTGTAAAACAGAGTGATTCAACATTAACATACATTATGAACAAAGAGTAATCTTAAAGATAAAACTGACAAGGTTTTCAGGATAACGGACCTGGGATCCGATGACTACATATTCTTCCTACTCGTGTCCTCACCTAACCTACCTTCTCTCTTTTCTTTGTAGTTTACAATGAAAATATGAGAAAATGTAGAGAGGTGCATGTGTGTGTGTGTGTGTGTGGTGTATTTCAGGAGTTGTGTGGAGAGGGAAACAAATACATTAACAAGCATAGTAGTTAAGAAGAAACTGACTTGTTAGGACATGAATGAAAATGGTCATGACAGGCTGAGGTTAGTCTGGTGGATCCTCTGATGAACACAAGACCCAGTAAATTTTCCCTAGCAAATTCTATGAATAACATCCATAATAATTTCTAGTTTAAATAGAAGTGACTGAGCTATTGTTTTACCTAGAAAGAGGAAGCCTTAACTTTAACAAGTGTGAACTCTTTCATCTTCCAATACCTCCTCAGAGACGGAAAATAGAAGCACTGGTACCTAGTGCTGGAGAAGTGAGTGCATCAAGGGACGGCCTGGCTTTGCCTCCAGAAAGCCCTGCTTACACC